ATAATTATGTTTAGGTCATATGTTAATATTACAAAAGTTCAACACCTTTTAAGTAAATTTGTTTTGTTTTTTTTAAGTAAGGGTATTTTCGTATTTGCATTAAGCTTTTTTATCGATTTATTTTTTTATTTATTACAAAAAGGACACATAGCGTTCATTTAAAAGGTACATGTTGTTAGGTGAGTACAAGCCAAAGTACAAGGGTACCTGACTGTAGAAAAACCCAACAGAGTTTGGAATGTCAAACTTTTGTTCGGCAATGAATTTCGTTCTTACCCCATGGGGTAAGTATCAATTTGTCTATTTATGAAAAGAGAGTAATGTAGTAGTTTATAATGATTGAAAAAAATAATAAAATTCTATCAACAATTTTAATGTCATGGTTGGTTATTTTACAGAGATATTCAAGAACCGCTCGTAAAACTATCTTATAAAATATCATACTATCATGAAGTTTAACTATATGTTTGGTCAGATATTTCTAAGTGCTTGAGTAAAGTACCAAATGAATTAAGAAAAACTTTGCAATACTATTGATGTATTGACTTCCAAGTTCCAGTCGATATGAAACTTTCATTATGCGAATGTCAAAACCAAAACGAACAACATTACTCTTGAATCATCCAACATAAATAAACGAATTAATGCATCTGTAATATACAAAATATTTAGTGTTTAATTTTTTATTTTTTTATTTTTTTATTTTTTTTTAAATTTTGTTAGGGACTCATTTTTCTTATATTTTTGTTGGGATGTTAATATGTTATTTTATTCTTTTTATATTAGGACATCATTATTTCATTTTTGAAAAAAAAAAAGATACAATAGAAGCTCTATTGTTCTATATATTTTATTTTGTTCCTGCAATGATATGTGATTAATTACTTGATTAATTATCTTACTAAACTTAATCGGCTATAAACATTTACTACCATGCCCATCGAACATGTACTTTACTTTTAATTAATTGATTAATTATCTTACTAAATTAAATCGGCTAAAAACATTTACTACCATGCCCATCGGACATGTACTTTACTAGTAGATACAAGAGGGAAAATAAGTAGACTAGTAAATACTCGATAAAACTTTTGTACATAGTAACTCAAATAAAGTAAAAATAATACACAAAGAGGGTGTCAATATGAAGCCATATGAGGAAATTTTGGCATTAAAACTATTCTTATCCACAATCCAACACAACTCAAACTAATAATTAAAACTTATTTTTATCCCCTCCACCTACACAACTCAACCTTAGAACCAAATTTATTTTTCACCCAACCCAACTCAACCTAAATATTTATTTTATTTTAGTTTATCTAAAAAATGCAAGTGTGTTCCAAAAGATATCAAGTGTGGTTTCTATTTGTAGAAATTGAAAAAATATGAATTTTAATATTTTTTTAAACAAGAAAAATACTTTTGGCCAATCGAAAAGGAACAACTGTCTCATTTTACAATACAACCGGTTGCAATCTTCAGTCACAATGTGACCTCAATTAGGCGACCATGACCTTTCCTTTTTTTTTTTTTAATTGTTTTAGATTGGTGACCTACTCAATTGACTGGGTCACCAATAAAAATAGTCGAAATTGTCACAGCAAACAGATTGTGTCTGATTGCTAATCTAAATATGCAAACGCCACCATGAGCCACTGCCTCTATGATCAACTTTTTTCCTCTGCTGCAGCCTATGAAAAATTATGAGATAAAACTAAATAACTATATATGAGTGAAATGAGGCCCTGGATCGGTCATGTAAAACTAAAACTATGTATAGATGGGTGACTGCTATATATTAAAGTAGTGTAAAGAATGTAGAAGAAGTCGATTTTATAGAAAAATACACTCAGCAATATTAGTTAATGAAAATTAAGAGTGGATGGATATGAAATCAAATTATTATTTTGTTGCATTTAGATTTGTCAAATTTTAATGATCGGGGCGTAGGGTGCGGTCACACATAGTGAAGCGCATCATAAAAGGGTGAGTCTAGTTACACCTTAGAGAGACCTTAGAGAAGTTTCATCTCAAAATCAATTGGTGATGAGAGGAGTAGTCCACTTTCCCGATCAAATCAACTCAAGTGATATTTCATTCAATAAGATTAAATTATGTTATGTTACATTATGTTATACAATATACAGTAATCATTATCAACACATGAAAATGTAGATGTCAATTAAACAATAAAACAACAATCAAAAATCATAAACATATCAAAGCTCCCAAACCAAAACGACAGCGAGCTCATACAACAAACAAACACAGTTTCTTAGGAAGACGGATCAGCAAATAACTCCACAGCAAGCAAAAGATAGAGTAACAGCACAAATTTAAGCATATTCAACCTTCACACGAGTTTCATTACCATCCCCAAAAACATCTTATTAATGTATATTTAAAAAAAAAAAAAAAAAACACCCAAGTACTATGAGAAACACAAAACACTGTACATGAAAATCATCTACCCTCCGATTTCACCAACTGCGAGAAGACTCTACTCATAGACGAAAGATCGTCCACGCTCGTGCTAGACGTCTCGAATCTCGCAACCGCATTGCTGTCCTCTGCATTACCATCATTATTATCATTATCATTATTATGATCACCAACCTGTGGAGAAAGCTGACCGATCACATTCGAGCTATTTTCGTCCGGATCATTACGAACCACCGCCTCCTGAAGCTGAAGTGCATACTCGAGATTCCACAACACATCCCCCATCGACGGCCTATCCACACCGAAATCAGCCAAGCATTTCTCGGCCGTCTCCCCAAACTTCCTCAGAGACTCGGGTCTCACTTTCCCAGCAAGGTTAGAATCAATAATCTGATCTAGCTGTCCCTTGTGCTGCCACCTCATGGCCCACTCAGCCAGGTTAACCATTTCCCTAGGGAGAGACGGGTCGATCACAGGCCGTGCACAAAGGACCTCGAACAAAACGACCCCAAACGAGTAAACATCCGATTTCTCTGTAAGCTGCTGCCTCCTGAAGTACTCAGGGTCCAAGTACCCGAAACTCCCCTTCACGGCAGTGCTCACGTGGGTCTGGTCAATCTCGGGCCCTGTTTTTGAGAGCCCGAAATCCGCAACCTTTGCCATGAAATTCTCATCGAGCAATATGTTTGCTGACTTCACGTCCCGGTGGATGACAGCTTTTGCGTAGCCAGTGTGGAGATAGTGAAGCCCACGAGCGGCCCCGATGCATATCTCAAGCCTCTCCTTCCATCCTAGGCTCGGGAGGCCCGAACCATAGAGGTGGCTCTTGAGTGTCCCCTTCTCCATGTACTCATAAACGAGAATCATCTCGTTCTTCTCATCACAGTACCCAATCAAAGAAACCAAATGGCGGTGGCGGAATTGGGAGAGCATCTCGATTTCGGTTCTGAACTCGGCCATGCCCTGGTGGGACCGTGGGTTGCCTCTCTTGACAGCCACTTTTGTGCCGTCATTCAAGACGCCCTTGTAGACCTTCCCGAAGCCACCGACCCCGATTATCCAGCTCTCGTCAAAGCTGTTGGTTGCCTCCTGAACAGCCGCAAACGGGATCCGGTAGCTGAGGTTAGAGTCCAAGTTAATGGTTGTCCCCGTCGAGTATTTGCTTCCCACAGTGTGGGAGACCCCATCATTGACCGATATTGGGACCCATGTTTTCGACTGGGCTCGGCGGGCTCGTTTTCTCCTTTTGCACATGAAAAATACGACTCCTGCCACTATTAATGCTGCAATTACGGCCCCCACACTAATTCCGACAATCATTCCAGTTTTCTTGGAGGAGCCTGGGAGATTTGGTAAAATAGAGGCCGGTCCCGATAAGCTGTCCCGTGAATTGCTTATTTTCATAATCTCCAAGCCGTTGAGAAGGGCATCGGGATAACCGCTCCTGGGAGACGGACCTATGCTGACGCTGAGGCTACTCACATCCATGGACGGGGTCACGTAGTCCACAAAATACGGAGTTGCCAGTGCCCCAGTCCGTGAGCTCAGCTCCAAATCAAGCAGCACAAGGGACGCGCCAATGTAGACGTTAAATAGAAGCTGATTGGAGGCGGTACTCACAATGTCACAGAAGTGCAGCCGGAGGAAGTACTGGAAACCGGGATCCACGGGGAACCTCCACGTCACGTTGAAATTGCTATTTGGGTTACCCGCGGAGTCCATCTTTGTGCACGTCCCATACACAGTTGGGGGGGCTGACTCGGGGGTCGCACCAGCTTGCGGGTAGCGCACCGAAGGGATGTTGGACTCATTGGTGGCCACATTCGAGTTTGTGAGGAAGGGCCTGTCGGGCACCCACGTCCGGCCCAATGTGTCGTTCACCAAAGAGACCAACGGCCCGCCCATGTTGACCCTGGCCACCGTCTCCAAGGCCCGGGTCACAAGCCCGGTGAAAGGGCCCGGAGGGCTGTAGAGGGAGGCGTCATCCGTGATGAGGGTGTCGGGCACGGAGACGACTTCCAGGGCATTGACGAACGCGAACGAGCCGGCCGAGGGGGAAAAAGTGACGGAGAGGGCCCCACGGGACACGTTGACCGAGTACTCCCGGACGGATGCGTTCCGTGGCCTGAAATCGCTAAGCAGCGTGGTCCGCTGGGAGAAGACGGAGAAAGTGGCGTTGCTCATGTTGAAGCTCCGGAAGGTGAAGGGGAAAAGGTGGAGCCGGATCCAGTGCCGCCCGGCCCGATTGATGTTGAAAGTGTAACGTGAGGGTCCGGTGAAGATCCGGGCCGTGCGGTAAAGAGGGGAGTCATCGGAAGGGGCTATGGAGTTCAAGTTGCTATCGGCTAATATGTTTTGTGGGGTTGAGAGGAATCTTGAGGCCGAGTTATCGGACATGTAAGTGATATTGCCCACCGTAAAATCGGAAGACGATCCACAGTTTATGTAGTACTGGTCAGGTGGATCGGTTCCTCTACAACAGTATAACAGATTCAACACAAAAAACCAGATTGAAAACCTCCAAATCTCAAAGCCCACCATCATCACCGCACAATTCAAAGATCGTATCTTTTGAGCTAAATCAACACTACAGTGTCCAAGAAAAACAGAGAAATAAAAGGGAAATTAAAGCACCTCAGATGAATTAAGCCCCCGGAGGAAGCAGACGAATGCAGATGCGCCTCAGATTTGTCATAAAAGCTGCACAAAATACAACAATAAAAACTCGAAAAATAGAAACAAAGAGAAGAAGGAAGAAAGTGCGGAACAGCGAAAAAAAAATTATAGTTTAGCTGGAAACTAAAAGAATAGACATAGCAGATATCATCTGGCAAGAATATTTTTCTTTAATTCCCACTAAAATGACATCCACACTAACGCGTTCACAAATGTATCGGTCGTCGTTAGATTGTCTGAGTAATAATAGTCAAAGGTTAACAGACATATACATTAATTAATAATAAGTGTGTAAATATTATTATGTTGTTAAATTGGTGTTAGGTTGGGGGTTGACGTTTTGTGGGGAAGAGGAAATTGGGATTTTCTATATCTATCTATATCTATACCACTTTAAAAGAAGGAGTGTTTTTGTAAAAATTTATAATGCCTAAAAAACCCTTATTTTGACATAAATTTAAAGGCAAATTAGTAATACATTAAAACACATCATATTTTATTTATATTTTTAATTAAAAAATGAACTACCTAAAAACCTCTTATTTTGACATGTTTTTAATGGCAAATAGGTAATATACTAATGTCATCATATCTTATAATATTAATTAATAACTAATATCAATTAATTAAATATAAATGCATGAACAGCTCATTCCATACTCCTAAAATAAAATTGTTTTCTTCCACACATCTTTAAAACTGTTTGATAGGATATAAAATTGTTGTTTTGAAAAACGTCATTATTTTTAATATAATTTAATGGCAAAATTGTAATCACATTTCATATCTCTAATATATAAAAGTTTTTTAAAACAATTAAAACTGATCCAACAAAAGAAAGCATAATAAACACTTATAAAACTAGAAATCGATATTGTTTTTCTCATAACAACCACAAGATATAGAAACATTATTTTCAAAATAACCTATAAAAAATGTGTGATAGTATGCGAGATTAATTGTTGAAAACACTTATTAAACTAGAAATCGATATTGTTTTTCTCATAACAACCACAAGATATGAAACATTATTTTCAGAATAACCTATAAAAAATGTGTGATAGTATGTAAGATTAATTGTTGAATGATTGTTCTGCAACTTAAACTTCTAATCTATTCAACTTCTTTACTACATAAGATCAGAATAATTTTATGAAATTGTATAATATTGAAACTGAATAGATTTGTTTTCACGTCTAATGAGATACCACTTTAGCCATATGGATTAATTTTGACCATATATTTATCTACAAACTAATTAAAAATATCTCGAGAATCATGATATGCCTGCATGTTGAAAATTAAATATTTATTTAAAATAGTAATTAAAAATTGTAAGTAAATATAAAATAATATAGGATATACAAATATTTGATATATAAAGAGACAGATGATCGAAAAAATCCTATACTTTATATTATGTCTTTTTTGACAAATCTACAATTAAGAACATGTGAAAGAACAAGATAAAGTTTTAAAATATATTAAATATAAGAAATAATGTGAATAATAACTAAGTTGTGACACGTACTAATAAATATAAAACAAACTAATAAAAAAAAATAATATAATTAATATACCTAAATATAAACTTTCTAAAAATATACTTATCGATGTAATCGAACTGAGTTGTTAAACACTTGTTAGTTTTTTGTTCTTATTAATTTGTTAGACAATAGTTATTTGTACGTTTAACCATGTAGATTAGAAAAAAAAAATTTATTATTCTAATTTTAAATAACTTTTTTATTTACTATATTAGTTTTTTTAATATAATATATAAGTATTATATTGAACATATAAAACAAGAAATATTTTAACTATATATCTATATCTATATCTATCTATATCTATACTACTTTAAAAGTATGAGTGTTTTTGTAAAAATTCATAATGTCTAAAAAACCCTTATTTTGACATAAATTTAATGGCAAATTAGTAATACATTAAAACACATCATATTTTATTTATATTTTTAATTAAAAAATGAACTACCTAAAAACCCCTTATTTTGACATTTTTTAATGGCAAATAGGTAATATACTAATGTCATCATATCTTATAATATTAATTAATAACTAATATCAATTAATTAAATATAAATGCATGAACAGCCCATTCCATACCCGGCTCGATTCCGAATTAGTCGGGTCCCCGGGTCGATCCGGAAACCGGAAGGTCCCTGTACCAAAAAAAAATAAAATTGTTTTCTTCCACACATCTTTAAAACTGTTTGATAGGATATAGAATTGTTGTTTTGAAAAACGTCATTATTTTTAATATAATTTAATGGCAAAATTGTAATCACATTTCATATCTCTAATATATAAAAGTTTTTTAAAACAATTAAAACTGATCCAACAAAAAAAAGCATAATAAACACTTATAAAACTAGAAATCGATATTGTTTTTCTCATAACAACCACAAGATATAGAAACATTATTTTCAAAATAACCTATAAAAAATGTGTGATAGTATGCGAGATTAATTGTTGAAAACACTTATTAAACTAGAAATCGATATTGTTTTTCTCATAACAACCACAAGATATGAAACATTATTTTCAGAATAACCTATAAAAAATGTGTGATAGTATGTAAGATTAATTGTTGAATGATTGTTCTGCAACTTAAACTTCTAATCTATTCAACTTCTTTACTACATAAGATCAGAATAATTTTATGAAATTGTATAATATTGAAACTGAATAGATTTGTTTTCACGTCTAATGAGATACCACTTTAGCCATATGGATTAATTTTGACCATATATTTATCTACAAACTAATTAAAAATATCTCGAGAATCATGATATGCCTGCATGTTGAAAATTAAATATTTATTTAAAATAGTATTTAAAAATTGTAAGTAAATATAAAATAATATAGGATATACAAATATTTGATATATAAAGAGACAGATGATCGAAAAAATTCTATACTTTATATTATGTCTTTTTTGACAAATCTACAATTAAGAACATGTGAAAGAACAAGATAAAGTTTTAAAAAATATTAAATATAAGAAATAATGTGAATAATAACTACGTTGTGACACGTACTAATAAATATAAAACAAACTAATAAACAAAAATAATATAATTAATATACCTAAATATAAACTTTCTAAAAATATACTTATCGATGTAATCGAACTGAGTTGTTAAATGCTTGTTAGTTTTTTGTTCTTATTAATTTGTTAGACAATAGTTATTTGTACATTTAACCATGTAGATTAGAAAAAAAATTATTATTCTAATTTTAAATAACTTTTTTGTTTACTATATTAGTTTTTTTAATATAATATATAAGTATTATATTGAACATATAAAACAAGAAATATTTTAACTATATAATATTTAATATGTAAGAAATGTAACTCAATTAGTAAATTAATAGGTAATCTTGAGATAAAATAATGAGTGATTTCTGAAAAAAAAATAAAATTATAGGAACTAAAAAGTTCACGTGTTTAATATACTTTTAATAGAAAAACTGTAAGCACAGTTATTCAATAAATACTACATAAAAAATAATGTTTGAGAGGACTACAAAAAATTACTATACTGCAATGAAAAACTCAACGGTAAGGTATTCTACTGAAAATTCCAACGAATATATTGCTTTCATTGGAAAATTTCATTGGCTATTCCAGTAGAGTTCAAATTAAATTGCATGAACTTTAGTGGATTTAAAGATTTCAATTACCTGAATTTCTATTGGAATTTTTTTTGGGGCATATTTCAATCGTTGAAAAAATAATAGATAAAAAATAATGTTTGAGAGGACTACAAAAAATTACTATACTGCAATGAAAAACTCAACGGTAAGGTATTATACTGAAAATTCCAACGAATATATTGCTTTCATTGGAAAAATTCATTGGCTATTCCAATAGAGTTCCAATTAAATTACATGAACTTTAGTGGATTTAAAGATTTCAATTACCTGAATTTCTATTGGAATTTTTTTTGGACCATATTTCAATCGTTGAAAAAATTGTCATTGGTATTATGCAAAAATTCAATAGAAGTTCCATTGGAAAGATAATTTCAGTGATATATCCAAAATAATTTCATATTGGGAGCATTATTTAGTTAATAGAAAAAAATATACCATCAAAATAACAGGTCATTGCAATTTATAAATTATACTTTACATAATCTATCACCTTTCTCATTTGTAATAAATGTAATAAATCTATACAATCACAATTAGGTAAAATATATTTAAGAAACCAAAAGTCAAGATTTTTCTTAAATCAACATAAGAAAATCGTTATATTTAAGAACTATTATATTTGTTGTAATTTTTGTGTGCAACTATTATTATGAAAATTTTTGATACAATAGAAAATATAAGACATTCAATGTAATTGGCGTTCAATTTACGATAAGAAGTAATTTTTTTTTCAAAACAAACAAGATACTTTGAAAGGTCCTTAATTATATTATTAGTATGATAATAACTAAATAAGAGGTAAGAATGATGACAAAACTTATAGCTCTCATTGATCCAAAAGTAAAAATACTGATAAGATTACTTAATGTACAGTATCCATTGGCGCTGGCTAATGAGTAATATAAAACATACTTAAGATACACATATATTTTAACTAGAATTTTTAAGTACATAATATATATACATATATATATATATATATATATATTCATATGTATATTTCTTTTAAAGTGGGTATGTTAATCTTAAATTTTTTATATTAGATTTTATTACTTTCTATAATTAAATTTTTTAATTTTGAAATACTTCATATTTTATATTTGTTACCTTTTTATATGTAGGTAAACTTCTAACTGTTCCCGCGTTTTGGCTAGAGCGCCCAAATCCGATATATGTTTGACACGAGTT